TGCCAATTGATGGTAGGGATCCGTACGCATTCAAAAAGGTATAACATTTTAAAATCAGACACTATTTACCCGATATATTAAAAAAAAAATCATCGAAAAAGTTTCGATTTTCGCACCGACCTCGATTTAAAAAAAAACGTGATGATTTGGAAGGTCATATCTCCGCGCGGAGCTATGTTGTTTTGGGACGTCAAATCTCCGCGCGGAGTAATGTCGTTTTGGAACGTCATATCTCCGCGCGGAGTTATGTCGGTTTGGCACGTCATATCTCCGCGCGGAGTTATGTCGTTTTGGAATGTCATATCTCCGCGCGGAGTTATGTCGCTTTGGCACGTCATATCTCCGCGCGGAGTTATGTCGTTTTGGAATGTCATATCTCCAAGCGGAGTTATGTCGTTTTGTCGATTTGGAACGACATATCTCCGCGCGGAGTTATGTCGTTTTGGGACGTCATATCTCCGCGCGGAGTTATGTCGTTTTGGAACGTCATATCTCCGCGACTCGGCTATTGGTGCTGATATATTTATACTTTATAGGGTCGGAGAAGCTTCCTTCTGCCTGTTACATACATTTGGATTTTGCACAAATACAATATACCCTTATACCCATTTTCAATGGGTTCAGGGTATAAAAAGGTTGCGACAAGTGGGTGCAAAAAAAAATAATCTCAAACATTCTTGAAACGGTTAAATGTGCATTTTTCGCACATATACCCTTTCCCAATTGTTGCCCAAACATTTATTTTTAGCTCTTCTCTTTTCTTCTCTTCTTGTTTTCCTTTTAACTTTCTTTATATTTAATCCTTATAATTTATTTAAATTTATATAATATTATATACATTGTTTATTTGAATTTTTAATTTTCTCAAGGGTCTTTTTGCAAGACTAATCCCTAACGAATTTTAGTTGAATGTCTGATCGTATTTACCCTTCTTCATTTAGTTAGCACCTTATTTTAACTTGCATAAGCTGCAGACATTGGCAATTTCCACTTTTGAAAACTTATCAATATTATCTGACTTCCCGCTCGTTGGGTATATAAAAGTGCCTGACCAGCTATACACCGGTACAAAATGATTTTATTTTCAAAGAACACGTTTGCCTGGCTGAGTCTTGTTGTTTTGGCTACCCTTGGCCAGGCATGCCAGGACACATCAGCCACGGTGAGCACCAAGGACTGGTGGCAAACAGCGCAGTTCTATCAAATCTATCCACGCTCCTTCATGGACTCTGATGGCGATGGCATCGGCGATCTGAATGGCATTACTAGTAAGTTGGAGTATCTTAAGGACTTGGGCGTGACAGCTGCGTGGCTATCGCCCATCTTCAAGTCTCCCATGGTAGACTTTGGCTACGATATCTCTGACTTTTTTGACATACAGCCAGAGTATGGCACATTAGAAGATTTTCGAGCACTTATCAAGAAAGCCAACGAGCTGGATCTGAAGATTATTCTGGACTTTGTGCCAAACCACTCCAGTGATGAGAACGAATGGTTCAAGAAGTCTGTGAAGCGGGAGAAGGGCTACGAGGACTACTATGTGTGGCACAACGGGAAGGTCAATGCTGAAACTGGTGAGCGGGGGCCCCCCACGAATTGGTTGCAATACTTTCGGGGAAGTGCCTGGCAGTGGGTGGAGGAGCGTCAACAGTACTACCTGCACCAGTTTGCGGTGCAGCAGCCGGATTTGAACTATCGTAATCCGGATGTGGTATCTCAAATGAAGCGCGTGCTGCGCTATTGGCTGAACGAAGGCGTCGCTGGCTTTCGGTGTGATGCGCTGCCACCACTATTTGAAGTGCGGCCTGATGTGCAAGGTCAGTATCCCGATGAGGTGGTGAGTGGTACCACGGAGGACACCGAAGATCGCGACTATTTGACAACGACATACATTGAGAACCAGCCGGAGACCATTGACATGGTGTATCAGTGGCGCGAGGTGCTCGATGATTATCAGCGAATTCACGGCGGCAACTCGAGTGTGCTGCTGATTGAGACGTACTCCCCGGCCTGGTTCACCATGCAGTTCTATGGCAACCGGTCGGTAAATGGCGCTCACCTGCCATTTAATTTCAACTTGATAACTGTGATGGAAGAGAGCGGATTGAGTGCCGGTAATGTGCAGAAGGCCATTGATCTGTGGCTGCAGAACATGCCCGCCGGACGCACAGCCAACTGGGTGGTGAGTGGTGCAGATTGTTCTGAAGATTCTTGAGATAATTACTAAAACAGCTGCTGCTTTTTAGCTGGGCAATCACGACAAGCGCAGGGCGGCTAGTCGATACGGTAAGGAGCACATTGATGCTATGAATATGCTGGTCATGATTTTGCCTGGCGCCAGTGTCACATACCAAGGCGAGGAGTTGGGTATGACTGATGGCCAAATCAGCTGGGAGGACACTGTTGATCCCTGGGGCTGCAATTCCAATCCAGAAATTTACGAGAAATACACCAGAGATCCCGCACGCACGCCCTTCCAATGGACAAACGGCACAAATGCTGGCTTCTCAGCTGGCTCGAAGACTTGGCTGCCTCTAGCTGCCGACTATGAGACTATCAATGTGGCCACGGAATCCGAAATGGAGCACTCCCATATAAAAATCTACAAGTCGCTGGTGGCGCTGCGTCGCAGCCTGAAAACGCTGCAAAACGGTGCCACCAAATACGCGGCGATTACTGAGGATGTTTTCGCCCTGAAGCGGTGGGTTGGAGTTGAAAATTCCCTTTAAGAGTACTTTATAACTCTCTTTCGTATCTTTAGTTCGCTTTCTGGAGCTGCCAGCATTGTGTACGTGTCCAACTTCGGCACAGCAGATGTTTCGATCAATCTGGAAGAGTTCGACAAGACCTTGCCGGCCAGCTTACAACTGCTCGTGCGCAGCCTGGAGTCCAATAAAACAGAGGGGTGAGCAAATATGCCAAACGTACTTACATATCACAAAAACTAATTCCGCTTTTATTATATAGTGTCGGATACGCCACCGATGAGCTGCTGCTATTGGCTGGAGAGGCTTTGGTTTTAAGCACTGAATAATTCAAATGCCGTTGAATTATTTAGTATTTTATTGATAGTTCTTTGTTTAATGCTTTGTAAGTTCTTGTAAATATATGCCACCCAACAAGATTTATCGGTATTTAATTTACGTATGTATACATATATATACTATATAATTTCATGTATTTTAATTTTCGGAGACATTCAGTTATATGTGTAAATATGACTTGTATTTTCATATGAACTTTCTTGTTCTATTTTGTATTTTTTATACATTTAATACACACAGAATATTTAATACACATGCATTTTGCTAACAATTAAACTCATTTTAATTTGGCTAGACTTTTTTTTCAATTTCTTAATGTTTACTTTAATTAATTTTATTTGCGGGTTTTCCTTATCACCTCTTCATATCAACTTATATTAAATATTTTGTTATAAGGAGTAGAAATGCTAAACTGCAGCACATTCAATAATTACGAATACACAAAAAGAACGTACAACTATATTATTATAGGTATGTGTATACGTGTAAGTTTGTATATGTACAGCTCGCTTACAATTAAATGTTGGCTCTGGACGCCTTTTTATCCACTTAACAATTAAATCTACCATGTTGCTGGGCTCAAGCAGCACAGTAAACGCAATTGTTAAGGCGCCGTCATTGCCGCTACGTTGCAAGGGGGTTGCGGGTGTGTTGCATGTGCTGCATGCAACCCCTTTGTAACATAATCACACCAAAATAAAAATTCACTCGAGTGCGCAAGATGTTACTTAGGTTACGACTTAGCCTAACAGTTAGTACAAATACAAGATAAGTTTTGGTTTTGGGTTCAGAAACACACACATTTTTGAAATTATATCACATTTTTTCTTTTTGGTAATCTTTGCTGCGATTGCAAGCAAACCCCATGCTCTATAACTAGTTAAGCTTAAAGATAAAACATTTAAAACGTTTCGCAATTATACAATTAAATGTGGCTGACAATTATTTTTGACTCTTCGTTGGGGTTATTGTTAAAATTGTTGCAACTTGTTTTTTTTTTTGTGCAACAGATTTTGCACAATATATTTTCCAAGTAGCGATGCAATCAGGGCAGGGAGGTTGTCTAATAACAATTATAAGCGACCAAAAAAAAGCTTTAAATGCTTCAAGCTTAATGAATCAGCGAAAGAAAATAAGCCATAAAAAGTATGAAAAGTAATAAAATCTTATTCGATAGAAATGTAATTTATTTATCGCTAAAGCAAACAACAACATTTAAGTTAAAAATATAAAAACAAAATATATAAATCCATAAAAACTAAAACTTTAAACTTTAATATATATTAATTTTTATACAAATTTGAGATATTTAGCAAAAGAAAATATTTAATAAAAAAAAAATGTATATATAAATAATATCCTCTTTTTTTTATTTCTGAATATACAACCTTTCAAACAAATGATGATGACACAAAATAATACTCTTCTTATCAACCTTGCATTCCCTGTCTTTAGATCACTCTGTATGCATTTTAAGATTTCTATCTAAAGATACCCTCACTCATCCTTTAGCTGCGGCCTATGGCTGACCACAGCTCAAACTGGAATCGCGGAACGCTTCTTGCCGCTTCCGTTGCCGATCGTTGTGGCACTTCCGTTACTACTGCCAGTGCTTGCAACATCGCTGCCATGGTGGTTGCTGGCGGCAACTTCACTCGCTGCCAGTTGTGCTTGATCCGCTTGAGCTGGATTGAAAAACTCAAGTTGCTGCTGCTGCTGTTCCTGTTGCTGGCGTTGCTGCTCCTTTAGCAGCTGCTGTTGCAGTTGCTGTGCGTTTAGCTATAAATTGGTCTGCAGCACCGGTGCTCGTCTGCTGCCGTTTGATGTGGCCGTGGGCACAACTTCCGTTGCGGATGTTGCATCCGTTGCGCTAACCGAAACCGTTGATGCCGTTGTCGCTGTTGTTGTTGTTGCTACTGTTGCTGTTGTTTCTGCTATTGCTGTTGCTGTTGCTGCTGCTGCTGTTGGTGTTGGTGCAGTTGGTGTTGCTAATGGACTGCTGGCCATGTGCTTGTTGGCCGTGCTGACTACCACAACAACATTGGCCTGGCCATGCTGCTGCTGATTGATTTTGTTGTTGTTGGCCACAACCTGCTCGTCGGTTGGCTCAGTGCCACTGCCATTGGCAGTGGGCGTGACCGTGGTTGTATTATTTGGCACGTATTGATCGGCATACGGAATTTGGTTGTAAGTATTGCAGTCAAGGGACGCAAATATGCTGGATAACGCAATCGTTTGTGTGGCCATTTCGCACAATTTTTTCGCCTTAATCGAGTGCTCTGCAAAAGATCGCCACACATTTTTGATGGGCCGGGCAAGAGACGGGTTCGGGTACCTACCTGTTTCAGTGGGCGTGATATGTTTTTGTAATTTCTCCTCCTGTGCACAGGTGGCGGCAGTCACAACCGCAGCGGCCATCATTGAGGATGGGCCAGTGCCCGCGGTGCGATGCATGTTGCCATAACGCGGGGGCATCATGCTTTGGCGCACATTACGCTCAGGTCGAACAAGTATTATGTAGAGCTGAGTGTTAAGAGAATGAGAAGTGGAAAGCGAGTCAGTACAAAGACAAGCTTGTAACAGGAACAGTTACAACTTAAATTGGCCCACATTTACTGGGGCCCTTCATTAATCATACGCCCCATTGTACGTCCCCTATTTACGACTTACGCTACGACACGCCCCCAACAAGGCTGGAATACTGGCGCCATTAGTAATATGCCGTTTTTTGCGGTCGCGGTAATTATTATCAAAGGCCACTGACACTGAGACGGCGTTCAACAATTCCAGGCCATTAAATTGTCAACGCTCCTCGCTGGCCTTAGCCGAGGCTCAACGTAACGTTAAGCTCTTGCGTTACGTAACGCGCTGCCATTTCCGGTATGGTGTGACATTGTTTGCCAGCCATTTGCCGCCGCTTGTTATTGTTTTTCTTCTACAAACAAACAACGGAACACGGTACAGGAAGCAGCACAGCCGGACGCTAACTCGGACGGAGACGGCACACGGCACTCGGCACCCGGCACCCGGCACCAGGCAAAGAAATACACAAAAAGGCAGCTCCGACTCGCCAGCAAATGGTGGTCGGAAGTTGCTTACAAGCCTGCCCCCACTTGTGTGCCCCGCCCCAAGGGGGCATCGCGACGCGTCGGGCAGCCAGCTCCATGGCTTGGATCTGGTTTGTTGCCTTAGTTCAGTGATCCCAGTTGCTTTGTGCTGGACTATTTGCTGTGGTCTCTTTTGTAGTTGGCAAAACAGCAAATACTAAATTGCATTTTTATGGCTTGAGGTGTTTATGGCAGCCACCTGCGTGAAAACATGTGTGTGTACGTCTTGGCTTGGTTGTGGCTGTTAGTGTAAAGGAAAGTGTGCATTATGTGACACCTGATAGCTATGTGGGCCCAGAACCCTTCATTGTGCTGGTTAATAACGACAACTGCGCTTAGTATTTATTGCACGGTAGAAACGTTTTATGATAACTAGTTGGGAATTGCTGCCCAACAAAGGAGCTCTTAAGGCAAAGTTCAAAGATGCAGAGTTAAAGGAAGTTTCTTTATGTAAATTATTTGCGCCATCTACATCTAGGATGCTAGCTATTCAAAATTTTACGTACTGTAAGCGGACAGCGAGTTCAGTTATTTTAATATTATATATATATATATATATATATATATATATATATATATATATATAAGTTAGGGCATTTGCTATATCAGCTCGGCACCCTCGACTAATCTACATATGCACTAATTTGTTTGACAAGAGAGCAAGCCTAAGGACATCTAAAGTAATTTTTTGTGCAGCTCAAACAGCAAGAAAAAAACCCAAAGTGAATCCCAAGTTCGGCATTTAATGGCAAACTTTAAGATGTCAACTAAATGTTACAATTTTAACGAAGTGCGCCTTTGGGCCAAGTAAGTTGTAAATCTCCGAAACTGTCCAAGAAAGTTGTTAGTGAACTTTTATGCGCAGAGTGCAGCCAACTCAAGCCAAATCCTCCGCTAATCCCCACCTAGTGCCAAATTCTTGGCCCCCAACAGTCATAAATTGCTAAAGATATAAAGCTCGTCTTGCGGTTCGCCGCAATTTAATGGCTAATAATGAAGCATTATTAAAAATGTTGTGGAAATGTCATGAACTCCTGGTCAAAGGCAGTGAGCATAGTGAGAAGAGGCGGACACTAGTTTGGAGTTCATTGCACAGTGCTTGCACTTTTGTCTGTTGACACTTAAAGCTACTAAGTTGGACGCTTCAATAATGCAACACGATGTGCCTGGGTAAGCTTTATCCAAGAAAGCGCTTAAGGGAATTGTAAATGTAATCAGCACGGGATCAGATTGGAAACAAAATACCTCAATTATTAATAGGAAAGATAAGCAATAAATGGGCGGCCAACGTGGCAATCGATTCGCGCTTTTTCAGACGACGTATAAATTATTAATAGCCACTCATCTTACCTTTGGAGAGAACAGACACGCAATCGTCACGCTGGCGGACAGGCTAATTGTCACCGACATGCTCGTTATTCGCAGCGGCACGTGATTGGCGGTTCCAAAGTACAGTGGCACAAAGGCCAGCCAAATGACGCAGGTGGTGTACATGGTGAAGCCTGGAGTGATTCAATGGATGCAGAGCACATTAATGCCAAAATCGATTAAAATCTCATCTTATTGAAATATACATCAAAAGCATTCTATTCATAATAGATGCAAGGAACTCACTCTTACAACTTAAGTACAGCATTTTAAACTTTAATTTGACTCTGACTTCAAGCTTGTTAGTTGCAAGAATTTAAATTTGTAAATAGTACAATTTAAAAACCAAAGATGTACATCATTTTTCAACTAGCGAACAATAAACGATAAGTTTAAAAGAAACCCAAAAAAAACTGAACCCTTTCTTGTTTATATTTGTTTTTAGTTTGTATAGTTCTGATTAGATTGTAATTTTTGTTGAACGTATTCTTAACACTTTAAAAAAATGCTGTCAATACTTTGCATTGTCTCTTTCTTTATTGTTGTTAACATTTTTTAAGCAGTTTTTGAAGCTTGTCAGTTTTTTCTTTTAGTTTTTGTGATTTTTATATATGATCATGGCTTGCGCAAGTCCTTACAGATTTGTATTATTTTAAAGTTTTTCAACTGAGTTCGAATTGAAAATGTTTGTATTTTTTACGTCTACGACAGGCTACCGAAATAAAATATCGCTGTAGAAAAAAAATGAAACCTTAAATACTATAAATATTTCAAGCAACTGCAATTAAGCTCTATCTCAAATATCGTATCGTGTTACTGTATCTAAATTTAAAGATACAGCATCAAAATACATTAAAGTTAAGTTATATTACTTCTTGCTGTTAATAGAAAATATATGCTGGAATATATTAAAAATCAACATAATTATATAGACGACTCACCGATATGCTTAGATTCATTGAAAGCCTCGGGTATCTTGCGGGTAAGCACAGCATAAACGGTGCACACCACAATCAGGAGAATGGGATAGAAGAACGCAATCATGTAGGAGGCATCTATGTAGGAGTCGCACACCAGCAAATTATCCTCGCGTGTCGGATAATGATGCATAGCATGTGATGGGGCAATTACCATCCAAACGCCATTAATGAGTATCTGCAAAAAGAGCGCATCGCAAAGTTAAGCTTAATGGGTGCTGCATGAGCGTGGAGAGAGATCCTTCACCTACCTGCACAGAGACTAGGCACGTGCAAATCACCAGCTGCGATTTTGGGCTAATGAATGAGGGCCGTTTGGCTGACTGTTTGCCAGCCTTGAAGATGCGCGCTATGCGATTCGTTTTGGTCAACAATGCGGCATAGACGACCGTGAAGCAGAAGCCCACGCTAAAGCTGCAAGCATGGGACATGACCAGATAGTTTGACACGATAGCTGCACTCACACAATCGCACACACTTACCGCTGAATGGCGCAGACAATATTCGTTGGCTTCAGCACGAGGGCAAAGGTTACGCCATAGCACATAAATATGCCAGCCAGGAGTATATAGCTCAGCTCACGACCAGATGCGCGCACAATGGGCGTGTCGTTGTGCCTGGACGGAAGATGGTTGGGCGAAAGAGCGAGAGAGTACAAAGTTATAATAGTTATATAAATAACAATGCCAATGCACTGCCAATTAAACGAACTTGAGTTTTTGCAACTGGCGTAAATACATACAAGTTGTTACTTGCCACAAACACACACACACACGCGCACACCTTACATTTGGTCACACAGAGAACTCAATTAAAGTCACATAGATTCAGTTACACAAAAACATGCACAGACGAAAACTCACCTGACAAACACGCCCACGACAAAGAAGGTTATCAATATGCCTGTCGCACTGAACGCCATGGCGCCAATGGCCCAAGCGGACTCGGGTCTAAGGTAAACCTCCGGTATGGGACGACAGTACTGCTTGTGGGCATCGGGCAGCGTGCCCAGTTTGCAAACGAGGCAGTGAGTTTCATCAACCGGATGCCGTATCTGCAATTCGCGAAAATTGAAAATAAGATACAACTATTAAATTATGCGCAATTGGTAATTAACGGCGCACTGCCCGAATCTGTTGCATTAAGAACTGAATGAGGAGCCAGAGAAATAAATAATGGGTGAAATAAAAATCACAAATATACAGCATAATGAGCTTAACTGCTGGCACGTAACTGAAAGCAAGTCAGAGTACTTCAGTTGTGAGTTCAAGACTAGAAGATACCCTACCTTCAATCTAAGCAGCTTTATCATACCTTATGTGATACCGAGACGATAGTTACAAATGCAGCTTCCGCTACACACTCCTTTGCCTTACCAATAATTATAATTAAACAACAAAAAATTTAAAGTCAAGTGTCCAGCTCTTATAGATTCTGTTATCGACTCGACTATTGATGCCGTCCATTAATATATATAATCTTTATTGGAACGGAGATACTTCCTTTTGCCTTGTACATGCATTTGCACAAAATCATTGTATCAATTAAACGGTAATCAGAAGATTTTAATGGGGAGCAAACAATATTTTAATGAAATATATCTATGCATGATGCGCAAGAACCAAGATTTTAACCTTATTTATTGGTAATCGACTATTATTGATCTGTTAATGGCAATACTTCCGATATCATACGTTTGATAAAATTCAATGCGCCAATGCTAATTAATTGCCTGAGTACAGGGTATACAAGAAGCAAAAATGTACATTACAAGATTACATATGAAAATGGAAAAGCCGAGCAATCACTTTGAAAGTTAATCTCTATAGTAATAAAAAGCGTATTGGGACTTTCTAAATTAAAACTTGTCTGCGTATTGAGTTAAACTTAAATAAACTGTAAACTTGTTATACATTTATGCAAAAAAAAAATTGACATTTCAGTGTTTTTAGAGTGCTCTTTTCTGTGAAATTCATTGAATACCCCTAATGTTGTTCACGTTAAATGAATGATGCAGCTCGTTTTCTGAATGAATTTAATGACATGCCTTTCATGCCACACTCTTCGCATAGTGTGCATTTTTTATGGTCCTGGACATTGAGCATAGAATCTATTCATGCTCTAGTTCTCACAATAATTCACTACATTACATTTCAATCAGGACAAAAGCCTTGCAAATAAATTACGAATTTTGCGCCACTTGCTTGCGGCAAGCCCCAGTTTCCCATAAGCTCAAAACAAGCGACCAGCTGAATGCATTACATTAGAGTTGCTTTCAAAGGAAGAAAGGGGGAGTTTCACTTACTTGATAAGTCGTACAATTGAAACAGTGCCAACAACAGCTCTCGCCCTCAACGTATCTCTTGGCCTGACCACGCTCGCAGGGCAGACTGCAAACGGATTCCGGTGGCTTGGGATGCAACAGCTTGAACTTTACCTCTGGAGTGTGCAAACGAATCAGCATAAGTTGCACCTGGCTGTGAGTACCACCTGTTGAGTGGTGTCTACTTACCGGACATGTTCAGGCGTAGTTCGCCCTCGTAGTACTCGCCCACCTTGACCCAGCGGTACTGACCCGCCACAGACTGCTTGAAGTGGATGATGTTATAGCGCGCGGGTCCGTCGCCGTTGCCGTCGAAGCGAAAATCATCGCCGCTGAGGCCTGCACACAATAAATGTTCGGGGTTAAATGCGTTTATGGCTTGACGCCCAGCACCAGAACCATGACCAGAATCAGAACCGTGAACCCACAGCCCAAAGCTCGAGCAGGCTTCAGCTTATCAGAAAATTGACAATTTGCGCGTTTTGCGTCAGTCGGCGGATTGCCTGCTGCTGCTGGCTGCTGTGCTGGCCTGGCCTAGGCTGGGCTTTCTTGTATAATTTATTGAATTTCAAATTGAGTTCAATGACGATGACAAGCAAGTCAATTTTCCACTCGAAAGCATGGCCAATGCGCATTGTGGGCACAGCTATGACTATGACTACGACGGCTGCAGGAATACCCACTGTGCGCCTTGGATATAACCACTTAAATTATTTGCGCAACACTTGCGACATTGACACACACTCACACACTTAAACAAAAACCAAAACCAGAAGCCGTCATCCAAGTCATCCTATAAAACTTTCGTTAAATGTTTTACCAACCGCTTGAATTATGCAGCTTTCCAAAGAACTTTTAGTTGTTTAAATTGTATTTCAATCGCTATATCCATGCCTCCTCATTGGCCCTTAACATAGTTACTGATAGTAATTGATATATATAAGTTAACAGAGGTCAGCGACACCAGCTCCACATGCTGATATAGCACTGAGCCGAATGTTCTTACGAGCTAACAGAGGTCAGCAAAATGCAACATAACACCAGCCGCAGATGCTGACATAGCTCTGGGCCGGATGTTCTTGCACGACGGCAGCGCACGAGGCGCAAGCTAAGCATTCTAGCGGCCGTTGTGAAAGCACACAATAGCTTAGGTATTTTTGATCAATCTTTTGTAAATTTAGTTTTTAATGCGGCTTTCACTGAGGCACATCGGCCCAGAGACTTCGCGCGTAGTGTTTCAAAATTTATTATTACCCAAATAAAGTTAAATATAGATAATCCGCGAGGACTATCATTTAAATCTTAATTTATATACACATATATTCCAGAGATTTACTAAGAGCATACCATGAGCATAAAGTCTAAAGAGTAATTTTGTAATTATGTAGTCTGCCGTCATGAGTATGCGTAGTACTTATACGCGAAGCGTAAACGGGACTGAAATCAAAATGAGTAGAAGTAGCAGGGGCGGCTAAAGCAAACATCATATCCGAGTGTATTGGTTGGAAATTTAAGCCCACGTAATGGACGTACTCTAAATTAATTAATTTTAAATGTCTGACAAAAACTATGATGGTTCTAGTGTATTTTGAAAGTCAAATTAAAAGTAAATTCAAAATCATTTTCTCTCTTATTAATAATAATTATAAAAATAATTAGCAATATTCAGGAAAGAATTCATTAAAGATCTCCGAAACAAACTTTTTGATAATAAATTTGAAAATCAATTATTATCTATACCGACATCAAAAATACGTATCGAAATATATATCGAATTTATTGATACTAAATGTAAATCGAACAAAACTTTTTCTGTTCCTTTGAGCTATTATAAATTATAAAATAAATTCATAAAAAAATAGGTAGTGTTCATGAGGAAATTCATTAAAGATCTCTAATAGAGACAATGATGGTAAATAATGAAAATCAAATAATATTGATACCAATAATGATATAGAGAATATATACTCATTAATCAAATTATTCTCAAATCCTCGTAAATATTGAAAATAATTTTAAAGACCTACACAATGATGGTAAATATTTAATACAACTATTATTAATAGTGATATTACTAGGGATAGATAAAAGTATATAGAAAATTTCCTCTATTTTCCTTAAATTAATCTGATGTCATTATTCAATTGTTCTTTTAATAAAGTAGTATTCAGAAAAGAATTTACTAAATATTAATTTATTTAAGTTTTTATTCAAGCGGTTTGTTAAAATTCAAATATTTATTAATTTTAACATTTAAATAAATTAATTGCAAAACCGCATATTTTCTCAATAATTCCCATTTACGCCTTCATTCAATTTGTGATATTTTTTTCGAACCACTGATAAATTAATATGTAATATTCATTTGATTTAACAGTTGAACAGAAATTTAATCGTTCTGTATTTGCTTGGGGCTATTTGATATATAAATCGATATCAATTTATTTGTTTTGCTGCCCTCACGCTTTGCTTCTTTGGCACACACAAGCTCGTAATTAGTAAATGTACCCGTAAATTTGACTTTGCGATTACTCAACTTACCCTTGAATTGAACCTTGCGCAAATATTTGAGCAAATCAGCACCCTTGGTCGGCTTCATGGCATCGCAGAGGGACGGACGACCGCCGCACAAATCGCGATGCATGTCCCTGCGAGGATTGGGGCAGTTGTAAACAGCTATTGGCTGGCTTATTGCACGGATGTGTGTGCTTTGGGTTGAGCTTACCTCAAGGCATAGGCAAATGCCATCACCGCATCGCTAACGAACTGCAGTTGATCCTCAAAGTCGGTATTCTGCCGGGATAGGCGTTCCTTGGTGGTGCAGGTACGGGTGTAGTTGTTGTACGGTGTGCTGGTGCTGCCCGGATAGCGACATTGGAAATGGTCCTCCCAGAATTCTGGAATGTGAGTTCGAGTAATTAACAAAAGCTCCCCAGGCTGAACAAAGGAAAAGGCAAAGGAATTTTGCGTACCCACAAACCAGGGATTGCGCTGGTTATTCTCCACGGTCAGGTTAAGAAAATATTCCTCGAAGCCACGCACAGGATTCGCCTGCGGCTGCACAGACAATGTACCCTCCACCTACAAAAGGAAGAAATTATAACGTGGACGCACGTTGCGTATGCGTAATAAATTTGAGTTCAGTTTCGGCTGCCACTAAGGGTTGTGGGGCTTTGGGTGGCAAATTAATTTGCCAAAGCCTCGCCCTGTGCCAGGCATACGCAATACACAATTTATTTCAATTAAACCATAATTCATCATAGTAGGGCTACATTTTGTCTGGTTGGTGCTTTTGTTTGTTGCCATCATTTATAAATTTTTAGTTGGTGGCATGTCACCGCACGCCTCCATCACTCATCTATGGGCGTGGCACATCAACAACTTGCCCAACGATTCATTAATCACACTTTCCCGCACATTTACGCTCATAATTTCCGCGTGGCACTGACACCACAACATTTAATCTAAGGCTAATAGTTTCTGCTACTTGCCTCTGGCTCATAGTCATCCGAGACGAGATTTCGTGCACTCCAGCCGTCGGAGCCAATCCAGGAGAAGGCGCCTGTTGCATTCGCACGCCTCACCGCCCGCATCACTTGCCGCACTTCCTGATCCGAGCCAAAAATGATAGCTCCTGTTCGATGGCCAAAATTTCCATGTTTGATTTTCAATTTTCCAATTTCGATGCGAAATGCCAATGGACACGCGGCGTAAAATGAGATTGGGAAAGAGAGTGAGTGCGAGAAAGAGAGAATGTGCAAAAATTAAGTTTAATTGCATTAAATATTAAGTAAGCGGATTCACATACAGAAAGCCAGCCAGGCCTCTGACTCTTCTGTGTCCATTTGAAATAATTCGTTGAATATTTCATTTTATTCTGCGACGACCTTTTTCACTGCAAATTGATTGCAAATTGCATTTTGAGTCGATGCATGAGTACAGCATTTCTCATTTATTAACATTTTTGACGTTAACCATATTAAGTAACCTGAAGCTGTGACAGTTGACAGGTTCATAATTCAGGTTGGCCCAAGTCAGTCTAAAAACCGAAGTATCACTCGAAAAGACGCCACGCTGTTCACATCAGTTGATTCTAACACAACAATTTCATTACTGATAGCTAAGAAACTTGTATTTATACAAATTGTTTCACGTCAATTACACAGGGAAAAAACATCTGCACTAATTTATTCAAATCTCACTTTTATTTCAAAATTGTATTGAACATATATTCCCTCTTCCGTCTCTTTAAGTTTTTCAAAGTCATGAAACCGAAAATATTTATGAATCTAGAAAAAACGCAACTCTTAAGCTAAAGCTTATTTATAATTGCTGTTCGGGGACTCATAAATATCTTTTTGCTCGGCATGCATAAAAAATTAAATTCGGAGCCCCAGCGCCGAATTCCCTACATTTACAATACTTTATTGCCGACATCTTTTGGACATTCAACATGGCAAACCATAAAAAAAGCCCTTTTAAATAACTTTTCAACTACATTTTAAATGGCGACAGCGCAAAATCCGTCAATCATACGCCCATAATAAAAAAAAATTCATTCAATTCGCTTTGATACCCTGTTGGCAGACAGTGAAACTTTAGGGTATGATGAAGGATTCAAAATGTAAGTAATAAGCGGATAGAAGCAGCATTGACACTGTGAAGTGTATTAGTTTTATGTGATAAATAATAACTAGAAATCTAGTATGTGTTATTGGGGTCACAAAGGTTACAGGGACTGTGGGTTACTTAAAAGCTAGATTCAGGGTGTTTTCTAGTCTATCAATGTTGCTTTAAGCATTTCCACTTGATTTTTTATTGCTTTGAGGTATTCGAAATGTATGTATAAGTCGCTTTGATTTGCAAATATTAATCAAATGCCAGCTACAGATTACCAAGAAATATATTAAAAATAATTACCATCACGAGCTCTTATGCATATCATTAATCAGGAGCGACTGCCAATGAACAACAGATGGCGCTACAGTCGCTCCAGTCGCTCGAGTTGCTGTTGATTTACATAAATGCGCCATCAGTAGTCGTTAAAAAATTGACTGGCCATCGAGAGGAGAGGTGCGAGCCTTTCGAAAAGGGTTTCTCAACAATCATTATTTATTGTGATTTGTGATTTGACGCAATTTACCAAACAGAGTCCCATTCAATACCCTCTGCGCCTGTTCGACTCATGTATTTCGCTCTTTTCGTCAGATGATTAATCAAACTGACAAAGTATTTTCCCTCGCACGAATATTTTACACATGTGAGGGGTTACTCCACTCGTAGTTCTGGGCGTTACTTGAAAAATTATACTCGAAATTGTATATGTAACTGCGACTTTCTTAACTGCCAACGCGGGTAAAGTTTACCTTGTAATGCGGCCACCGGGTGGAACCCTATAGAAGGGTGTTTTCAAGCGCCTTACAAGCTTTTGCTCTTTATCGCTTCGGATTAGTTAAATTTATTACGCAAAAAAATGTACAAAATAAACATACAAACGCAAATTTTCAGTTTTTTTATTAAGTGGCAACTATGTGGAGTTCAGAGTTTATTATGAAGCGATATATTTTACTTAGATAGAAATAACATTTTTTTAGAATCTGTTTACTCTTTAACATCATTTTTAATAGAAACTCTGTCAAGTTTCATGTTTAGCCAACTTCACCCAAGAGTTTCAGTCTTGACATGATGTTAGTTTACATCCAAATTCCACATTTACAACACCACAACAACGAATGCCAGAAGGCCGCTCACTTGTTTCTTTTTTTTTCTTTTTTCATAAATGTTTATTGCATTTAATCAAAAATAGCATACATTTCTATTACAACACAGTTGACTTAGGTGATATTTCTCCAAGCCTGGTTGGGTCCTCGTGCTTTATTACTTGTTTCTATTTAATCTCAATTTTGTCGAATATGCAACTGGCATATTAAAGTCTAATGCTAGATATTAACAAGGAAATCTGCATGAGCATGCATCATATTTGACATCCTGCTAAAGCAGTAGCCGTAATTATGAACGTATTACCATCGATATACATGGGCCACATGGAAAACTCTCAGCTGAAGGCTCTCAGCTGCCCAGTCACATAGAACAAAGGAACTGCTTGAGTGTAAACGCAATGAAAGCACAAAGAAGTCCTCAAGTTAACGTATTCTCTGTGCAGCTGTTGCTGCTGCGCCTGATTAAGTTTCGCTTAACTTTCAGCTCAACACAAAAGCCAATCGATAAGTTTGGCACAGGACAAGCCGCTACAGAAAGGAGCCACAAGGACAGCAGGCCAGGAAGTCAGTGACGCAAAAGTATGACGCGAAACAAAAGCGAAATGTGAACGAGCTTGAGGCTGGGTAACGTTGCTCCTGTTCCTGATAAGAAATGACAACTGCAGTCGGCACGACAGAGCCAACGAAAGGTTGGGCGAGGATGACTGCGGAAGATGGCAGCATCAGCATCAGTTTGTCCGTCCATAACAATGAAAGTCATAACAATGAAAGAAACATCACCAAGGAACTCGGCTGCTTAGCAGCGAGTCTCCCGGCTGACCATCAAGAGACAGGCGTCAATAAAACGGACAGTTTTTGCCCGTCCTGGTCTATCATTAGAAGCCCCCAACAAAGAATAAGCAAAAACTGAAACTGAAAATGAAACTAACCCAGAGACTGTGGACGAGGAGCGCTTAAGTGGCCGGCTGCTCGCTCGTACAGCGAGAATTTCTGGCTTATTGTTTGCATTTTGATAAGTTCTGCCAAACACTTTGTTGGCAGCAAGGCCAAGGTTCTCGAGCTTTCACAAAGTATCTGTCGAGTGTGCAGTGGCTGGCCTCCTGCCTTGACCACTCCTCGGCCTGTGTCCTTATTTAATTAAATATCAAGCGAAAAAAAAAAAATGACTGTGTTTTAAAGGTATTTATTTTAAATGCTTGACTCTCGGCGTCGTCTTTTGCTGTTTTGATTTGATCTTGATATTGTTTATAGTATTTGGTTGCTTAATTTACATTTCGCATTTATTTGCGGTTCTTGTGATTGATTCTGTGTGTACTGCAGCTGAATCTAAGGCAAATGTAATTCTCAGCTTAATTGTGGTTGGAATATTATTGATATTCGGTTAAGTAAATATTGTGAAGCGGTCTGAAAATATCTAATTTACAAACCATATTGTGAATCGGCAATTGTGGAATACAAACTGATACGAAAAGTCTTTTAATTTGCGGGTGGAAGGGCAATCGATAATTCTGTAAATAGGGTCGATTGGTTTTTGAAAGTGACCATCTCGACACACTGTCAAATGCGTAACTATATTCAGTACAGAATTGTTTTAAACTTTTTTTTCTAATTATTTATTTTACGATATCTTGACGAAAGTTTTCGTTTACTAGGTTCAAAATGTGCTAGATTTTATACACTTCGGACCACAGGAAGTTTTGGTTTAAAAATAAAGCAAATACAAACAAATATTAGGTTCGATCCAAACTTAGCATAAGTATTCGTAATTGTGACTAAAACTATTCTCCGTATTAATAAATAAATTTATTTTAATAGTTAATTTGAATTTAAATAAATTCGTATATATCGATAAGAACGCGTCTAAGCGTTTACTTTAAATAAAGAAAATGGGTAATCCTTGTTAATTCAGATTTGATTTTCATGTAGAATACATAGAATACATCTGTATTATCAACAATTGAGATACTTTAAATTTAATTCGAAACAAAATAATACTTTAATTGACCATCTAAGAGACTCGAATAAAGAGAGTTTTAAATAATTGTGAGTCACCTTTAATTGATCAAGCAGCTAACAAGACTGACAAATGGCAAATACCATCAACATGTTTTCACTATTTGCTGGCATATTGTCATTTTTTATGGTTTATATTTATTATATTTCTACCGCTTTTGCCGTACTCAATCAGCTCCAGTTCAACAATTTGCCAGTACCCATGGTAGTTTATTTTATCATTTGCAAAGTCGCCAGACGTTTCATTTTAATTTCCTGCGCTGGATTCTGCAGGCACTGATAACTGGAGCTCGGCAATGGCAAACATTGCAAAACGCAACTAGAGAAATAAGATAAAGAAATAAGGAATACTGATGCTCTGGTCGGGCTGCCCGACTAGTGGATTCCCCGAACCCCGCCAAAACAAACATTCTAGCTTCCTTCTACACAAATACACAAAGTTGTGCATACACTCACACATTTACGCAATAGCGTAAATAATAAGCTGCACTGCTTCTTCCCTTAGCACCATGCCAATAGAAATTCTTTCCTAATTTACTTCGGTGTTTATTGTCCCATTTGTATTAAGTTTTCAGGTCTTAACAATGGCACCCATATGTGTGGAGATGCTAAAATGCTTCGAGTAAAATATTCTGAAACTGTGGATATCACATTCCAAAGTATACATCTCTAGCTCTTATAATCTGAAGATTTCGATATTAATTTTTATCAGTACCATGGAAACAGGGCAAGCTATCGTTGTTTTGAAACAAACTCGTACTGCGTGTCCACCAGCAGGCCTACATTCAACATTTCAAGCATATCTTAATGTTTTGAGAATTGATCTACTCAAGAACTAAATGCTATTGAAATGGCTGACAATGACCAAATATTGAACACAGTTCACAGACCAAGTCTAAAATGCCAAGGCGGCACTCCCTTCATATTAAAGATTTTTTTTTTTTGGAAAATTGTTTCTTAAATAGTTTAGATTTTGACTAACCGTTTAGCTAGATATACAAAACTTCTTTATATTAAGTGTGTTGGTAAAAGTGTGTTCATAAATATCAGTTAAGTTACAATGAGAGTTGATTTGTTTATGTATAAATATAAAATACACTTGTGTCAATGTATATAAAGCGACTCGACTACAGATTATACGAATTGAAGGAAAAGTCGTGTTGCTTAAAATGTTACGATTTAATTTGTGCAATTTCCGTGGCACGCCTCTGGAGAAGCGAAAAAATCTCATCTCTCACGCGGCGTGCTGCGAATGTTGATGTCTGCATTTGGTCGCTTTCCGTTGACATTTAATTTAAAATCTTTTTTTTTTTTTGTGTGGAAGTTACTGTTACTGCACTTACCTCTAGCGCGCGGTTTCGTGAGCAGCTTCTGCACAATATTATCGTATGCAATATCTTCAGCCACTCCCGAATCCTTGACGAGCTTCTCCTTAATGGCAATACAAATGTTATGGCGTGCCAGTAACTCTTCTAGTTCCTCAAATGCCTGCAACAACAAGTAGACAGAAATAGAAATTTACTTTGGCGCGGAACGCGCGACGAACCGCACACGGAGTTGGGCCACACCCGGGGCATAAGTGGCGACCAGCTGCTGTGCCGCAATAAAAGCACAGAGCTTTCCGCAAAACAAATATGCAACGCTTCGTGTCACACAAAAAACAAAAACTAACAAAAATACAGAACAAAAAATAAAACAAACTTGAATTGAAGCTGTCGAATTAAAACTGTCTCCAGAAACGCGATATTCCTAAACCGAAGCGGCGAGTCGCTTCCGAAATCGATTAACCCCTTTGAATGCTTTAAATACCTTTTAACTTTAAATATTACATTTTAATCAACAGAATTTAGCGCCATAGTAAATATTTATAAAAAATTGTTTTGCTCAAAATGTGTAAAAATTGCCTAAATTCTTGTCCCTTTATTTTTTAGTAAAAATTGTTGATGCGCTGCACTCACCTTGATGCCATAGTTGCTTTCCTCGTAGATGATCGAAACATAGGTCCATCCCATGCTCTTGACAATCTCAACCATGGCCTTTACCTGGTAGTGGTCGGAGGGAATGGTGCGTGAGAAATACTCAAAGCGCTGCTTGTTGCTCAGCTCCGGGCTGGTTGAGAAATATGAGACCTGCAAAAAATAGATGCACAAGCAAATTTTGATGAAAACTATTCCATTATAGCGACAACAAAATTGCGCAATAAAAAATGAGCTGCAGTTGCCGTTGATTGAAGCTGGCAAAAAAAAAATGGTGTGCTCTGCACTTTTGAACGGTCACAAAGTATGCTCAAGGAAGGCAATGAAAAGACTTTTTGCTTCGGTGCAATTGCCCTTCGGAAATTGCAGATACTTTTAATACAAAATCTCAATAAAGCTATTTCTTTGTTATCCAAAACAGATTAATACTATTTTTACGAAAAGCGATACATTGGACATAAAATATAAACCGTTTTGATGACTTCATCATAGCTGAAGCCCTGTCGCTATTTAATGCAACTAAGATTCCACCTGCTTGCACATTACCACTTACCGGCGCATAAGATTTTCTTACGAATTTACAAATGTTGCGCGTCGGGCCTTCAATTAAAAGCTTAATTCCAGTTTATAAATTCATCGTTTAGTTTCTTAGTTTCACCATTCTCCTTGCATAAGTCTTACTAGACCACTTCATCGATAAGCTCAATGTCTAGCAGAACATTTAATCTACAACATTTTTACAAATATAATTGAATTCCGTATAAATTAATATTTTAATTTTCCCCATTATCGACTACTTGTCGTCTTATCGTTCAGCCTAATATATTAAATAGAAACTTTTCTAGCTTTCGTTGACCGACTCTTGCAAATGCTGAGCCCCCAACGTCACATTTGTAGCATAAAACAATTTCTAAATGCAGCAAAAATTCACTCCTCATGATTTTGAAATTCCAGCTACAAGTTTGTGCTCTAAGCACTCGAAATTAGCCAACGACCATACCACGCTGAATACATCGGTTCTCTTAAGCAGCGTCGGGCGCGGTTAGTACTTAGATGGGGGACCGCTTGGAAACACCGCGTGTTGTTGGCATCGTCCACAACTTTTTTTTTCTAGCTCGAACAAATTGTATATTACTTCAGTTAATCTATTGCTCATTTAAAATCTCATTTTCTGTATCAAATATTATTTTTATTAATATTATTTTTTATATTATTTTTATTATTAAAGTCAGATATAGATTTTGGATATAAGTATAATTCAATAAAATACCGTATTAATTAATATATCTGCGCATTTTGTACTACTTGCTATCTTATCGCTTAGCCTTATATTTCAATAGAGATATTGCTTGATATTTTTCCTCCTGAGCAAACTCAGTAATAACGTGCTTCACAGTTCTCCTCACAAATTTGTATAGCTTTACGCTGTATGTCTAGAAGGGTATTTAGTCGTCTTATTGCCAAAAAATAGCTTCTGTTCCATTGTAGCGATATTTTCAGTTATATGCTTGCTTCTTGCTAATGTTAGCACCAATTAGCACCATACTCCGCACTGTTTTCTACTTTTATATTTTGCTGGACATATTTTTTAAATATCATTTTCTACTCGTGCCACAGTTGTCATCACTTCCAGACGCTGTTTGCCTTATATTGCAAGGGTGGGAAGGCCACAATTCACAAGAGCGCAGACAATGCTCCAAAGTCAAAGTGAGTATCAAACCGTAAAACCGAAAAACCGACACGCCGTGCCGACATAGCTTTAAGTTTTTCCCGTTGTAAAATGGGGGGAAAAGTCTTCCAATGCCACTAAAATCCAATTTCACGCGCAAATTAACGCCGCTTGCATGGTGACTGACAACGTGGTAAATGGAGGCGCGGCGGGGGGCGTGGCAATTGAGCCAATTGCAATCCACATGACTTGCAGTCGTTAAAGGAATGCTCAGCGAAACTTTGAGCACAACGAAAATGTTCACACAATTTCCCTGGAGCATGGAGGGAGGTTGCGCGGAACGCAAAGTGCAGCTCGGCAGGTATTTAGCTAACTACTTGATTTCTAATTAAGTGCTATTATCATCAAGGCTATGCGCTATGCTCCCTCAGAGCCTCTCTGCTCGACTGCGCGTCTGCTCGGTTCTGCCAACAATTTACTAACGAAGTGTTTGTGCAGTCTTAAAGACTGATAATGAAATTCTTTGAATGCTATGAAAACTGTCGCCGCTTAGTAAAAACTTTTTCGAGCATTTCCATTCGCAATGATGTGAATGCTAATAGCATTCGAGGATGGTATTCGTGTGGGCATGAGTATATTATGCAGGTGTCTATGAGGTGCTTATTCCAGCAAAAAAATATGAAAAATTATATATTATATTTTTTGGAATAAATATTCAAAGTTCCTACATCACGTATATTTTCTGAGCTGTGTTCTTGTGAAGGATCAAGGAAGATTCCAGGAAGATTTTTGAAAAGGCAATAGTGTCACCACATTCTCCTAAAATGTTATAAATTACCACGACGAGCCATTTGTCCTGGTTCTCTCGGTATAGTCCATAACACCCGCCTTTATATGAAGCTCTCATAGGACACAAAGCATTCTCGCCGATTGAACATCTCGATTTAAGAGTCTCTAGGAGATAGAGGCAATAAATTCGATATACTAGTTATCGTTCTCCACATCACATCGAGTTTTCCAAATACGTAAGGTAAAATGTATTTATTTGTGCAAGTGTATGTAAATGTAAATCGGAAGCTTCCGACTAGAGCCTTTTACTTGTTTTTAACGAGGTAACTTAATCGATCCCCACATTTATTAGTTTTACTATGACCCAACTATGACGATATTTGGAAAATCTTATCAACATCGGACCACTATATCATGTAGCTGCCATTGAAAAAATTGCTCCGAAAGTAGGCTCTTGTATAACAAAATATTGTTTCCAAAGAAATATTTTATCAAATCCAGCATTTATGAGGTTTATTATTCTCAGGTATCTGCAAATCTTCTGCGTGCCGAAGATATATATTTATCGTTTAATGCCCAATAACGCTTCCTGAAATCGAATAATATCGTACTTCTATTTTATTAACTGCGGGCACCAAGTTTAATATATTGTCTTACTTCCTTCTTGGAAAGGTAACAACCCAGTTATCTAAACAAATCTCTTCCCTTGCTCTGGTTTATAAGCACATATAAATCATATATTTATGCCAGGAATTAACGACCAATATCCACAGTATGACGCTGCAAGAAGGTGAAGCACGGTCCTTGCAAAAAGTGAGCAGCTTGTGTGTGTGTTTCTGGGTGTCCTTGTTTTCGTCAGCTAAGGGCTGGTAATCTGCCAGGCTGGCACCCTTGACTAGATTATAACTCAAGATCTTGACAACAGCTTTATATCAGAAACGAACTACCTTTCAGCACTCGGGTCGAGGCGGAGCCACTCTTTGGGTCTGGAGAGTGTCATTCAAATGGCACATTAAATGAGCTTGAAAGGTATATTGTGGTCATCAACGTGCTCGACTTGAAACCCTGCCTGATTTGAAATCAAAATTCGTACTCGCTCGGCCCGCAGCCCTGAAGCCGGGCTAACAATGTTTTTGCTGGCCAGGACAACCATCAACTACCAATGAAAAGCAATCAAAAGCCAGCGCTTGATTTATGGCCATCTCGGAGCAACTGTTTTGGGGCTGCAGTGAATGGCTGCTAGGTGCGTGTGGTGCGTGTGCGTTTTATGGCATACTTGCAGGCGCAGTTGCCTGTTGCCGTGTACCTGCTTACTGTCGCATATTGACTTTTGGCAGTTGCTCACGTAGGGGCAGCGCTGCGGCTACTCAATCTTCCCAAGCGACGTGACTTTGCTGCTGCCACACGATGTCTCGCAGAATCAAACAGTTACAGACGGGGGCAACAAGAGCCAGGACAGATGGAAGCGTGTACTAGGCTTAAACGGAGTTTTGTAAGTACCCTTGACATGTCCCGTGTGCAGCTGCTGCACTTTGCTTGATTTGTTGCCTCTCGAAAGTCAACTAATTTGGAGCCACGTGCTGGCCGTTAAACTAATTTCCAGCTGAGCATTCTGCGACAAATTTTGTGCACTTTTTAATTATAACCACAAAAACTTTTCACTGCCAATGTGAGGCCAACAACTTGCTAGCAGAGCTGCCAAAAGTTACGATCAGGCAACTAAAACCAACTGCGAACAGCGTCCAGTTTTCAATGTTACGTATACGACATGTGCATCGACCTACCTGCGGTATCCGAAACAATCTCAGCAAATTGGCCACCTGTATGGATGTCACCGATGAGGCAGCACCAACCACGCCCGATATCACCTTTCGCACTTGGGTCTTGTTGCAATGATATTCGGCATCGTCAATGTTACTAATGGATCCTGTAACAAAAGCAAGAAGGCGCATAATACTGTTAGTGTTGAAATTTATACTATATTCTTACTATACATACATTTAAGTAATATTTAATTTAGAAATTTATTCTAAATCAGAATTAAAAGAGATACACATTACTTTTTAAACATGTAAATAATATTAATTGATATATAATTTTTAATTATATAATAAAGCTTCAATATAGATGTTTTAAATTATGTGTATAACTTGTCTGCTGATATTGAAATATCCGTAGCTTATCTAATGAACTGTTATTATGTTTACTTTTGTTTTTATTTAAAAACGCCTTCTCTGAAGTTTTGATTATAAAGTATACCAAATTCTTTGATTTAGTTTTTGCTTTTATGTAAATTTATTTTGTAGCATTATTTTAATATCATATTCAAAATGTTTGCATCCTCTGAACTCTTGGTTATTTTAACTAACCACTTTATGCGGCTAAACTAATAACTAATACTTAATCGTTAATAGCCCGTGGCGCAGACGAAGTTAGAAATGAAAAGCCAAAGTTTGCCAGCGCTAGCTCAAGTCAGAGCAAACCTTCGGAGAGCACATCCATACAAAACCAGACCCAGACCAAAAGCAAAGCCCACACAATGTAGTTGGTCATTTTGTTCTTGCAACTCAATCGCGACGACCCCACGGCACTCATTCATTTGCATATTTGTGTTGATGCTTGCAAATTTGTGTTTCTCCGCTTTTTATATATTTTTTTATGGTTTACTCTGCAGCGTTTCATTTTTTAATTATAAAACTTTGTGTGTGCAGCTATTTATTGCTCCATTAAATAGTTCTAGTCGACAGGGCCAACTGCGTAGTGAACCATATTTACAGTTGCCCCGGTAATTATATTTACATTTTTTTAAATTAATTTATTTTTCGGAAACTATATTTACGCTTAATCCAATTTATTTGTATTCAATTTTTGTCGCTTAGTTTGTTTTTCGAAAAACACTAAATAGTTTATTTTCTGCAATTTATGTTTGGGTCTTGTTTTCTGCTTTTTGCATTTGGCAGCCACAGATAACTTTGTATACCCTATAAAAAAAGGAAATGTTCACCTATCTGAAGAGGAAGACTACACAAATCTTGCCAGAATAGTTCGATAATATTTATTATCTGTCAATGTATTGTAAGATTTTGTCATGGTTGCAAAAATAATAATATTTTGCATCGCAAATCTATCACCCAGGTTTTTTATTTTTTTTAAATTTGTTGCAGCATTTTAAATATGTGTTAAAATAATAATTTTGGGAATATATTGCGATGGCATTTAGAGTATTGTTTAGGCGGTTAGAATCTGCTTTTTATTGTTGCGTGTTTAAATGCAGATATATCTGCGCTATGTTATGCGAATATAGACGTGTGCGTTGTTTTCTAAAATGCACAGCTGCTAACTTTCAATTGTAGTCTGTGGCGCACATCGATGCGGCTGGCTGCTGGTGGGGTCTAGAAATAATTAATATAATCGCAGTAGAAAACAGATGCTGGCAGCTCCAGCTTCCGATTTCGATTCGATTAAATTAAGCTAAGTTCGATTTAATTCCCCAACAGCCAGACAGACACGGACAGACATAAGCAGATCATGCAATTCGGCTTGGGGTTATTTTTATGAGTCTGCCACGCCCACTAGGGAGCACAGTTCGGCAGCTGTAGTTAAATACAAATTAATTAACTCCATTGGGTAGGTCACTTAATGGGTTCCCCAACAATGACGAAGCTGATGACTTGTGCTTGTTGGGGGGTGTAGAGAGATCAGGGTCTCATAGTTTGCGGGTTGCCTAATCCTGTCAATATAATTCAGTGACTTGGAAAATTATATTTTTCATACGTCGGATGCGAGAAATGTGGCCGCTAGTCTATGCGGCATGTCGCTCAAATAAATCCTTGTTGCGCACATAAATAATGAAATTATGGAGATTAGAAAGTGTTCAGGCCTGGCGCAAGGACAAGCCCAACGACAGCCAATCCTTGCCATGCTGGCGCAATTGATTATAGATCGTTGTAGCTGTCGTTGTCGCTGTTCCATGCGCCGCTTTATTGCCAGATAAAAGCAATATGCGCCTCCTTTATGTGCACGGGCAAAGTGCCAGACAAAACTGCCGCACGCGGGCCAACTTACATATGTGAGCCATGTGGCAACGCCCTCACATCCATCGGCACGCCCTCGCCCACTTCCGGCCATGTTGATCTCTGGCGGCGCACTTAATTTTCGCTCGCATTGACACGTGGGACTTCTGATGCCTTACTCAGTGTGCCTGTGTCTGTGTGTGTGCTTCTGTGTGTGTGTGTGTGAAAATTCAATAAATGACACCGTTTTGTCTTAGGGGAATTATGTATATTAGTTTTGGGGCACGAAAGCGCTTAGAGGGCTTAAATGTTCCCGTCTGCTGCTGCTCCGATATTCGCCGCGAAGAAGTCGCTTAATTTATTTATTAATTTTGTTTATTAATTAAACGTTCGACGCTCGAGTAAATCGTATTTGCGTCAGCTTTGCCTTGGGTTCAACGAAGTGCTTAATATTCGAAACAACAAATATTCCCATTGCGTGGGCAATCAAAGAGGAAATCCTGCATTTGTTCTCAGTTTTTATATAAACTGTAATTAAATAAGTATTGATTTTAATATTTATAAAAGAGTTCTGCATAAGCCACAAATTGCACAACAATTAAGTTTTATATTCATTTCCCAGATCGTATGAATGTAAGTCACAGCAAATATGTATGTTGTTTCCTTTAAAGTTGTTATTTTTTATGTTCGTCATGGATTCAACGATGTGTAGGTGAAATTCCGCAGATTTTTGGTTTTTTATATCATTTCTTAAAATGGGTTTTAACAATTTTGTGGAGGCATCTTTGACTACATTTTTCTGATCATGCACCTGTCTGTCCCTATGTTTAAATGCGTTTACCATAGAGACCATATGATAGCTAGAGATTTTAAATGTTAAGCTTGGATCCACCTATCGCGGTCGCTAACTGAATTTCCTTTATTATCGATATATCTCCCCGTTTCGCTATCGATAACCATATAAGTGCTAGATATCTATTGTAGTATGTAGGCTTTGTATATGATTATTCAAAATACACTTCACATTTGAGGAATGAAAGTGTGCAGGGCACAATATATGCATATAAGTCCCATTGCTCTTACCTTTTATGAAATCCACAGCCATTTCCAGGCCGTACGAGTCCTTGTCGCAATCGTCGAGAATATGGGCGCCGAGCGTAATATTAGGCAGCAAATCCATCTCATTGATACGATCAATTGTGTAGAGCATGGCCTCTAGTGCCTGGATGCCGCCCTGTGGCATGATGGGGCCACAGGTGATGCTGTCCTCGCGCGAATGCACCATCATGAGGGCGCCCAGGATGACGTCGCCCTCAACGATGGCCTCCCTCTTGACGGGCCAGTGCCGCTGCGCCTGCGTTGCATGCAGGCGATCTTGAAGAAAGTCTACGGAGTCGGGCAGCGAGCGCAGATACTTGCCGCCCAGCTCCGAGATCAGCGGCAGCATTACATTGTTCGCCTGGTTGTTGTTGTTGTTGCTATTTTGTGGCATCACATGGCGTCCACGATGTCGTCCAGAGCGCGTCGAGGCGCCGGCGGCCGCCATGTTGGTTGGCAGCTCGATGTTCGCATATCGCTGATAGCTATCCAAATCGAAATGATTATTGCCATAGTCGAGATTCCCTACATGCTGACTGTGTGGCTCGATGTCGACCTCCTCGTCGTTGACATAATCAGCAAAGGGCACAGGCGTAGGCGGGGCCAGGGGCCGGTTTATGGTCGACTGCAGCCAGTGCGAGTGCTTGCCTAGCTGCTGCCGTCGCTGCTCCAATTCGAGCGCCTTGTAATGATTTTCTCTGTAAGTCCGACCATGGCCATGTTGCTGCTGTTGCTGCTGCTGATGATGATGATGATGCAGATGCAGATGCTGTCGATGCGGGTGCTGATGATGTTGATGATGATGATGATGATGCCTCGCGGCTGTTAAGCTGTTCAACTGTTCAACTGGAAACGACAGCAGCTGCTTCTTTTCCTGCTCCTGCTCCTGCTCCTGTTGCTTCTGCTCCTGCTCCTGTTGCTGCTCCTGCTGCTGCTCCTGCTCCTGTTTCTGCTGCTGGCTATCATCATCGGTCCACTTATCGCGAATGTCACCAATTACCGCATTCTCGACGCTGGCAGCTTTCGATTTGGCCAGCACCAAAAGTACAACGACAATAATAACACAAACTTGCACAAACAACCGACTTAAACATGTCAATTTCATGTTTGCATCAACTTTGAACTGGAGTTTTCGTCTCTTTCTTTGATAATTTATTTGATATTGTTGCATTATTTTAGATTTATAAGTTCCATTTTCGGGTTGCATACACAAATTGCATGACGCATGTTTGCAGCACTCACTTTATCGTTTGATGTTAATGAATCTAGAAATATGCCGGTGTATGTAATGAAACTTTAACTTTAACACATGATGTGTACTTGCACACAATGTGTTTAATTAACGAATTTATGCCATTTCGCGGTAATTGAAATGCTGGTATTATTTATTGTTGCATTGTCATTAAAATTGCTAACATTTTGTGGTGCTGTCAGCATTGCAACCGAACTCTAATATCATTAGAGCAAAAGCCCCGCCCAGCTTATAAATGTCAGCCACATAAAGCCCTAGAACTGTGGACCCATTGAGTGTTGAGCAGAGCCCGCGGCAAGCTTGCCATAAAAATTATTGCCCAGTATTTGGCCTGAGGTAAATTAAATTTTGCATAGAATTTATGTGGCGAAGGCGCACCACAAAACGGAAGCAAAAGTGTGGCTCACATAATGCACAAATCCTTTGCAGCGACAGCGGCTTCAACAGTTCGCCTGCCGCAGGGTGGCGGCATAAAAAAGTGAAGCATACAGTCAGGCGGCGGGTGCGGTAATTAATCAAATTGTTGGCGGCATAATGAGCTTGTCGGCTTGTCGGCTTGTCAGAGCACCTCTGAAACAAGCCCCCAAAAGAAACATCTCCTTCGTTCCGTCTCCTTTTCTAACTTGAATTCCCACTGCGACTCCGACTCTGACTAATCAACGGGCGCATTAACGCCGCTTTCGAGGCGCAAACTCGGTCTGCAGTTCGAGTTTACAAAATTACTTATCATCAGCATAATCAGCGGCATTATCAAGTCGAAGGTGGCAAGACGGGGGCTGTCACTGTGTCCTGACCTCAATGCCTATCACTGTCAGGGGCAAATGCTTAAAAGGGGCCGGCCCGGGGCTGCAGCAGCTGGTGCCCCCGGCTTTGGGAAGCATCTAATAATGAGATTGCGTTAAACAAATGGTGCTTTCCTTTTATTGCCCTTAATAGACACCGGAGGCTGCTTACACGCTCGTAATTTATTTTGATTACATTTGTCTTTCTCTCTCTCTTTCTCTCTCTCTCCCTCTCTTTCTCTTACACATTCACACTCTCTCGCTCTGTTTGTCTAGCTAAAAGTGTGTGAGTGAAGGATATTAAAATTTGCTTAGGTTATTTGGGACACAATTAATAAATTGATCAAATCGGCTTTTTATTTTAAAAAGATTTATGCATTCTTAATATTATAGTATAAGACTGCAATTCCACAATTGAAATAAGCCAATAATTTGTTTATAGTCTTAGTAATCAAACAATACAAATAATAATCTTAATTGCTAATTATTAGCTGTTTGAATCGGAATTGAGTCCAGAGCATTGCGCTGGTCTTTTATGAAATGAGCAGATCCTAAAAGAACTTAATAAGCGTCTCTGCTGAGCTGATTCAAGCGTATGTCCATGACTATTTCAGGGACAACAGCAAAAAGGATAATAAATAGCTCGTCTAAGGATAAACGAAAGGTTGCTCCACTTGAAATTCACTGCATGGGATATTACAGTGTATGCGAGGCCCGATGTCTTATCTGGGCTTATGCCCGATAGAAGGTTCTGGTGCCTACTGTTTAATGGCAGGAGTGTAGCTGACACTGGCCCGGACTCGTCATTGCGCTGTATCCTTTGTGCTATTGTCTTATTTTGCATTTGGATGTGGGGACTTTGATTTGATTGAGCATTTCGCTCACTGGCTGAGTCCCTTTTTGCGCTTATTTGAATTCGCAGACTGGCATTGAAATTGAAATATGTATGTATTGGCATGGTAGAGATTCCCATGGCCCGGATTTAAAGATAATTTGTGAGTGCCAGGGACAAGTTTGAATGCGGCCAATCTGTTGTGTGTCGCGTGAGTGCCTGGATGCGTGGGTGCTGAATTTCAGCTTGGGCGAATTGATTTCCATCGATAACAGACAAAGTTGCATAAATTGCCACTTGATGTGTTTGCGCTAAGCCTGGCACAAGGTCAAACACTCGATACGATGGCCGCTTTAAAGCCAATATCGTATTAACTATATACAAAAAGACCTCCATAAAATAACACTCGCTGCGCTGATAAGTAGGCTGTGAAAAAGATGCGCAAAGTCTGTAATGTATGCATTCATTCATTTATTTGACGCCCAGGGGACAGCCCAAGTGGTTTTTGCTTGTCACTGTTGCAAGTGCAAAAAAAAACTCAATATATGCGTCCATACATATATTCCCGCCACAATGATTGATTGTCAGGCGAAAATGTTGACCAGTAACTGAATATTTAAAATGTTGTGCAATTAACCCGACTTTCTCTGCTTACATTCTGAGAGTTGGTTAATTCTGGCTCACTTTTGTTTGACGTGTCACAGTTTAAACAACATGCACTTTAAATAACGAATAACGCCCTTTTCCCATGCTGCTTGTTAACATTCCTGGGACAGCCGTACAGTATGCTAGGGAAATTGTAACATTTACATAAACGCCAGTCCAAACAACAGACGCATAAAGAAATTTCGAAATACGCATCAAATAACATTCAATCATACTTTCGTGCGCCCACACACACACACACACACACACACACATACATATACACACGAAAACACGCAGCGAGCGCACAGGCTGACACCTGGACAAGGATGTCAACGTGCTGCAGTTAATAGCTCGGCTCAGCTTCTACGCGGCAGCAAAACGCCAGCCGCGCGGATTAGACGACGTCTTCAATTTGTTACGCGTTGGAGCAAAAAATTAATAGCAACACATGTAAAAAATGCCGAAATGCTTTACATAAAAAACAACATTGAAGGAAAGAAATGCGAATAACTTTGACAGGTGTACACATACGGGCAGATATGCAAAGTCCCTGCCCCGCTGCAGCCGTCATCCGGGCCCCCTCTCTGAAATTCTGCGCCGCTGTCTACGTCAGTTACAAATGCCTGAAACTGTGTGATAAATTTTGTTCACACGCAGCTTGAACTGGGAGCAGGCGGAAGAAATTGTAGGCTACCGGCAGCTGCTTTACAGTGCCTGCGTTTATCTGCGTACTTGCGTATGTCTAGATGTCAGGTAATCTGCACCAGCGGCAGCGTCAGTTTTGACACTTGCACAACAAATTTTAATTTGATTAGAAGCTATGGTTAAGCCGTTACACATATATTATTGGAGTAGCTGTTGTTATCCGGCATTGCCCGGTCAAGCGTTATCCTTTTTCATATTTTTATGAACGGAACCGAAAACCAAATCAAATGATTCAAACAAAGAAAAAAATATTAAAATAAAGATAAAAGTATTTATCTCTCAATAAAAATATTTATTACAGATTCCTACTTTGACATAAACTGTTAAAAGTGAAATTTTTTAAGGTCCGCATTTTATAAATATAGATGTGTACCTGATATTAATATTATATACATATTTTCTAAAAAAAATAATAAAATAAGAGGGCTACTCTCTTAAAGGATATTAACCACAAAATCATCCATGATTTATCAATATTTGTTTGTTAAAAACAATTGAAAGTTCAAGGTACGGACGGTATCGCGTTGCAATTAATTTTTGAAATTTTTAAAATTACGAATTTATATATAGATTTGTTCTCAGTGTAATTATTGTTTATTTTTGAACATTAAAATAGTTGGCCATTGTCCATGTAGAGTTTTCCTTATTCAAATAAAAACAAATTACCATATGATCTATTCGTAATAGACTGTCAGTATCTTGAGGGCCTTCATTAATATTAATATCTATACAAATCTAGCTAATTGGGCACTCCTTGGCAGCAGAGTTCCGCGTAGCTAATGGGAATAATTGCTGATTTCATTACGTGGGACTTATTAATGAGCAGAAAGCAATTGCTTGCCGCGCCGCATTGACACACAACGAAGCAATAAAAGTCATTTTAATAAAGGTCAACAAACATAAATATGGAAAAAAAAAAACAATTTCACTTTCATTTCCGGTTCACACACGCACGAACGCGCAGTGAAAAGTTTCTCTGCCAAGAAACTTTTGCTTACGCTCTCCTGCTGTAGCTGAGTTTGAGTTTGCGTTTGAGCTGAGTTGTGGAAACGCTCCCGTAAATACATAAAAATATGCGCAAATAACAATAAAACCTACAAAATTATTGATATTGGGCGCATAAAAATTGCTACTCAATGTGGGCGTAGCTCAACGCACGTATCTGGGCGAGGCTGAGTCTGCGAGCTAATGTCGAAGCTGAACTAAGCAAATAACCCTTAGATGCTATGTATACGCATTTTATGCATGCTCCAGGCCAACTAATATTAAAACAAATATGCTGGAGCCCAGTCCATGGCACTGTGGCACAGAAACTTGTGCGGCAAATACTTTAAGGCAAACTTTATTAGCTACCAAAATACCTGAGATTTGTGTGCTGCCTGACTAAATATAGCCGAGCATCGTGGGCCCTACCCGACTCTTCCTACGACTACCCTACAGCCCCGCCGGCAAGCTATGCATGCGCCGAGCAAAATACAAAATGGAAGAATTGTAATTGGTTTCGTGTGTTTAACGCTTTGCGCCTCTGGGCCACAAAATGTGGCTAATAATCCCGTCTAGGCACGCAGCTCAAACAACAGGTTCTCCCAGGCATGTGATGGCACGGCTGATGAGACGGGGGTGGCAGACATGTTGGGTAGACCAATTTTAGGGCCTCAAGATTAATGTAAAAGTTTGGGAAGCTATGCGTAAATTTTAGTAAATTGGACATTTGATAAGGGATCTTATTTACTTAATATTTCAAATTATGCTTTTTATTAAAATGGCCATGAATATTATAATATTCAAATATTAAAATCGACAACTGAATTAATAAGTTTAATATTTAAAAAATAAAACAATATGATTATTTTAGATCTGTTGACAATATTTACGAGCTTCTCACA